TGAATTTTGCCTGCCGCTGCCTGTGCCGCCATTTTTGCGAGGGCAACCGCGCCGACTTCGAGAGGAGCAGAGACTTGGCCCTAAGTACTTGGCTATTTGGCGGGATGTGGGAGAAGGGAGTTGTGGCCGTTGGTAACCCCTTTGTTGGTGCCGGTGCCGGTGCCCAAACCCATAATGCATGGCTCAGTAGACTAGAAACTGCCTGTTTCCTCTCCCTTTGGGCTTTCTCTGCAGCTATGGCAGTGATTTTGCCTGCCAGACGTTCAACGTCCGCATTTCTTTTCTATCATACTGACACTTTTTACACTTCTTTGCTTTATTTCGTTATATATGTGCTGCCTTTTTTTAGAAAAAAAAAATATTTCTCGGAGCAGTGGCTCTAGGCAGCTCTCAACAACCCATAAACCTTTTTTCCCAGGCACCTTTCCATTACAATGGAGAAGTCCGTTTTTGTCACAATTTTAGTAGTTTCTGTTGAATATTTGTAATTTTTGAGATGTTTGTTACAGAGCATTACAGAGTGACAAATATTTGAAAAGTTCTATTTTCTCTCTTCGCTGATGTTCATTAGTGATTTATAGTACAAATTATTTCCAGTTGGGGGGACAGATGGGCTAATTGTTTACTAACTAGCATAGTATTCAGTATAAATTGCTCTGAAATGTTCCAATTGTAAATGCAATTATTTGGGAGTGAATTCTATTATATTTAGTATTATAGACAAAGTTACTGATAACCACACAGTGGCACTGTAGGAACAAAATCATAACTGACATGTCTGATTTCTTTTTTCAGCTATTATTAAAGGATTCCACAAAATAGAAACTCATCAAAAGGAAACAGTGTGCCTCTGTCAGTTGTTGACATATATTGCCGAAGGAAAAACATTTGGTAAAACATTTTAATATTTTGGCTTTGACTTTGGAGAGAGAATTCTTAGTTAGATGCTTGAAAACTAATACTAATTATATTTATGCTTATTTATAGAAAAATATGTTTTAGCGAAAAAATATATTTTGCAAATTTATATACATACATACATAGTCCACACATTTGTATTTATCTTTAATTGTTAAAATGTAAACTACTTAAATTATTAGAAATAACCACTGTTAATAAAAGCAAGAGATCCAAAAAGTTTGGTAAATTGATAGCAACAAACCACATATTTTCTAAAATATGATCTTGTGTTCCTATGCTCAGCAATGGCAATTGTCTGGCTCTGCACTAATGGCAGCTTCAAGTCAGCAGCATATTTTAGTGTTCGTAAGCAAGTCCTTAAGTTACAAAAACATTGCTTGAATAGATTACTGCTATGGTTCTTGAATTCCTAGCTCAAAGAAAAATAATAGTTGTAGGGCTAATTTATATTATAAAATAATGCATTTAATATAAGTTCATGTTGTCTTTAATCAGGTGCAAGCTCATATCTTATTTAGAACTATTGTTCTGAACTGAAGACCCTTGATAGTTTATTGTAGTTTTTCAAATACTGTTAACAATGAGTAGCAAAATAAATTATAAAGGATCTTTATTCTATGCTATTTGATTTGCTCCCTCTCTAAATTATATCCACAGTTTGGCTTGGTGTTTAACCACCTCAGTTGCATAGTTGATGATCTCTATTTAACAAACTTTCTTCTGTGAACCAAAAATCAAAGGAAGAAATTGACTTCTAGTATAATGACTGATATCGTTTTTGTATGGATGTTTATTTTTTGGTCTTTAAAATACTATGCTGCTATTTTAACTTCTTCTCATTTCTCTTAAGATTCTGATTTTGGAGATGACCAAAGACTTTCACCACTGGAAAATGCTTTGTCGGTTTGGACTTCATTCCTAAAAACACAAAGCAAACAAGATAAATTGCATGAAGATATCAAGTGCTTAATTCAGATTCAGGTTTGATTATAGATCAATATATTCATTTTAATTCAGAATGCCATGCAAGAAAATCTAGAAATTTGTTTATGGATTCTCACAGGCAGATCAAAATGTTTATGCCATAAATTGAGGTAGGAAGTACAATGTTTAATATTTTAAGGCTTTTTCAAAACTATCACTATATGTAGGCTATCCTCAATACTTTCCATGGAAACTCTATCATTCACAAAATACAAATTCTTTGTTTTCATCAAATCCATCCTTGCATCTTTAAAATTCACTTAGGAATTTAAACATTTACATGATTTTACAGTTAATTGGCAGCAGCATGAAATCTCATGACCATTTATAGCCTGTGGCCATATAAATGAATGAAAAAGCTACCACGCAAACTCTAGTCATTTGTGGGGAAAAAAGAGCAGAGTCATATTGGATGGGCAAAAAGCATAGGAGAGAATAGCACAAAAGAAATATGAGAAGTGAAGGTGTTGAATAAGATACTCCCAGGATCAGTTCCAGTTATCCCACTAAGGTAGCTAGACATGCAGGAGTAGCAGCCGTCATCCTCTGCCCCCATGCCATAGGCCAAACATGCTTCTTTTTTCCATTCATTGTCAATATTGCTTGATTCACTTACCTGTGGAAACTCCTATATCCACACTGAAAATCAGGCGGGGAAAGGATGAAGCTGTCTCTAACAAATGATCCTGTCTATAAGAGTTCTTAGTAGCAATGGAGAGGATTTTCCGGTTCTTTGTACCAGTTAATGGAATTAGTGAAACATTTATTTGGCTGATGGGTTCCTCCATTGTGCTGAAGGGGAAGGACAGAGTAAATGCTCTTTGGCACCATACATCAAGATGAGTTGCTAGAGGGAAAAGTACAGTTGATCATAACATTAAATTGCATCAGTTGTCTTGTTCCCAGATTTGTTATAAAGAATGGAAGTCATTACTTAAAGTTGTCTCTTCGTAGGCTGTTGCTGTATATATGGAAAAAGGATATTTTCAGGAGGCTGCAGAAGTGATAGAAAGACTTTTCCCAGAATCTTCATCCAATGAGGTAGTATGTTCAATATTGAATTAAATTAGACAATTGTTCTGAAGCCTTGTGAAATAAAAATGCATGAGATATTCTTAAATGATCAATGTGCCGATTTACTAAACTGATAAAACAACTTTCAGGATTTACTCTTCTAGTCATTATTAATTTGTAATCTATGAAGGCATTAAAGTATGGGTGAACAACCTGTGCCCCCAATCTGGTTTTGTGACTTTCAGGATGCATTGCTGAAATCAGTGATTAAAAGTATTTTAATTCTACAATATTTTCCCTGTTTTGTCTTTTACATTTTGGACAATAAAATAGATGCATTATATTTCTGGGACACCAAATACTGATATTTTCAGTAAATTCCAAATATCCAATAGTAAAAAAGCTAAAATGTTGGCTTTATTGACAAGTTACAGTACACCAGGCAGCCTTTTGAAATCCAAACTAAGAAAAGTGTGGCCTTAGTCAAAAATAAAGTTGTCCTCTATTCTATTAATGTTAAAACAGACAATAAAACTTCCAGGAATTTTCAGTAGTCATACCTTACCAAATTAACGTTTCTGATCCAATTTCATGCCTCCTTCCTATTCAATTTCTCTGCAATAATTCCAGATATTATTTTACTGCCATCTAAATTTCACTCAACACTATCAAAGTTTAAGGAACTTAGATTGTGGATTTTTAATCTTGTAAACACCTGGAGCCATTGTGTGAGTTGGACAGCCATATAAATTTGTTTAAAAAAATAAAAAAAGGAAAAATTCATACTGGCGACATTGGCATCAGATTTTTTTTCAGATCATTATTTTGCCTACTGTATGTTGTATAATTTACTGTGATTAAGATTGCTTCACTTCTATAAAATATTGGAAAGTGGACACCATATATTTATTGCTGGATTGGAAAACTAGCTGGAGCAAATAATTAAAGGCAGGAAAAAGAACAAAAATGAATACAAATTATGATATGTAGGATGGGATGTTTAACTGAGATGTGGGTATTTTAAAAAGAATAATGTGGAATGAAGGAATGTAAAGGAAGATTAGAGGAGAGTGTTCGGCATGAGATGCATTGCTTTGGTTGCCCAAGAGTTTGACTAAAGAGAATTGAGCTAAAGAAGCTATTGCTGTTGTATCATCTTATCTGCACAGTTGTGTAAAAATTATAAGGAAAAACTGAAAGCTTCTACAAAATGAAATTCTACAAAATCTAACAAAAGTGAATTTGTCATGCCTCATGTTATTAGGAAAGATAATTTGCATGTACTTATCACTTATATTGTATTATTTATAATGGAATAATATAGATTTAATTTCCTACATTTTGGTTTCTGGCAGCAAAACTAATGTTCTGTTTCTTTTAAAATATATACCATTGGCAAGATTACAAGCACAATATGTAGTATTTATTATATTCTGATTTTTCTTTCTGTAGCCTTTAAGAATGAAGCTTTCTGCAATATCAAGACAAAAAGATCCATATCATCCATTTCTTCGATTTTTCAGTTTCAATCTTTTGACTGAGAGAATTAAAACTTATATCAATATTTTCTTGAAAAAAGAAACTAACAATTTTTTAATGCAGGTATGTTGAAAACCATAGTAAAATAGAATAAAAGTAGTGTGTACTAATTGAATTATGTAAATGTTAATTATTCAATTAACCATATAAGTGACTGAATGTCTTACTCATTAAAATATTGTAAAGTATTGGAAATGTTCTAATTGTTAAAACTGTAGTATTATACAAACTACCAAATTTTAAATAACATCAGAGTAGTAGGTGCAATAGACCAAATGTATAACACTGCAACAATTTGTAGCTTGGATGGGATTAGAGCAGAATTAGTTTCATGACAACTCTACAATTCTAGCAGTTCAATTAATAGATGTACCCAGATTCTTATCTTCTGAGGCTTCTTTGTGTTAGTTTCAGTTCCTGCCTGATGCATTGACTGAATGCAGCCAACCATTTTTGCTTGCCCCTAGCTAGATCCAGGAAGTTATAAATTCCTCCCTACATAAACCTCATTAAAACGGTTATTATTTTTGGAAGGGGGAAAAATGGAATGAGAAAATCTAATTATTTGCTACTTGAATAAATACCATACTGCTGAAGTATGTGATGATGATTCATCTTGATTATTAGGCTTTGCCTTGCTCTGAATATGATTTCCAAGAGCTTACTGAGGTAGTAGCAGGAACACAGGACCTGTCTCTGATTCATTAAATCATCCTAGAGTGAGAACACCCCTACTGAACTGAACTGAACAGCTCTAGTTGTTAATTATATTGCTGCTTTATTTTACATTTTTATTAGTCTTGTTTTAAATCTTTAACATATCTTGTAAAAAGTCTTTTAGGAAGACTGAGAAAGATAGGAAAAGTAGTATTTCTTAAATAATGTTGATGTTTTACAGGAAGCTACAAAAGAGGTGAAAACGAAAAATTTGGGAATAATGGTAAACACACAATGCGACAGTACAGTTGAAATAAACAAAGAAAATCATTTGGAAAACACACCAAGCACTCTTCTAAAGTATGAATTTCCTGGAATTTGCTAGTTTTATACCAACATGAGTAGTTATTTTGGGGGTTACAGATTTTTATTTTCATCTTTAACGTACTATACTGGTAAATAAACGGCTCTTTTCCTACTTAGTTTTTTTAATGTATTATATGTTAGAAAAGTGGCGGATAGTGGAATTTAGCAAAGAATGGTATAATTCAAGGGGAGAAAAATTTCACCATCCATATAGGTATTCTCTATCATATCTCCTTTTTTTTCATTCTCTTATAGATTACATAAACATTCTTGTTCCTTACCTGGTCAGTCATTTTGGAAACCAAGGCAAATACAGACTTTTGTGTCCAAAAATATAAAACGAAAAGCCCTTCAATGTAAGTAACTGCGTAATTTCAGTATATCTGAACAGGATAGTTATATTGGAAATATGGATGGAATCAGTTACCCGTTCCCAAAATCCATGCTTCAGAGTCCTGCCTTTCACTTAAAAAATAGTCTCTCGTGGAAATCAAAGTATAGACCAAGGTATCAATAATCATTCTGTAGCCTGGCATGCTCTGTGCTTGATACATTTTCATTTATGTTGACTAAGTTCAGCTTTACTTGGGCTAATCTCCATACACCTTTAAATCTTAAATCTCATAAAAGACATCTTTATTCAGAGCATTCTTTCAAAGGTTCTCTTTTTGCCTCTTAAAAATAATATCCATTTGTTTTATTTTTTATTGATTCACTTTATTCTATTTGTTGTATTAGTCCTGCTGCTAATCCCCTAATTAAGTGTAGTTTAATTAATATTTAGCCATTAAAAATGCATAGTACTTCAGGGTTCAAAAGAGATGTTTGTATTGTTTCTCTGACCCAGGTACAAAAAATCTGCAAAATACTACAACTGCTGTACAAGATGGGTTTCTGCCAGCTTGTCGAAAGAAAAAGGTATAAACAAGAAACATTGAAAATAATGTATTAATCTAAAATAATATTGATGAGATTAACCAAAGAAACAATATTTTTCCAAAATATTTTCCTGCTTTCCCTAGAAGACTGCCTGTCTATAAGCATGGTCTGATACATACAAGATCCAACAAGATAAAAGGGTTATTTCCAATCCAGCCTGGCCGTGCAGAATGGTCAAACCTAATGTAATAGGTAAAAGTGCAGTAGTGTTCATATTTACATATTTATTTACTTCTTTACATGCAAGTGTTTCTTAATATAAATTCTGGGGGAGGTTTACAGTAAAAAAAATTAGGCTAATATACAAGTAGGACATGAAAATAAAACCTAAAACACTGGTGAAATTTAATAAGGGACACCAAATACAATGGCGGAAGGCAACCTTCCCCAATTGTTCCAAATGTCTGGAAATTCAATTTGTATAATAGGCAGCTAATATGTCTGAAGACTGCTGGCTTGGCTTATTGGAATTAAAATCCAACATATCTAAAGTTACTCTACAAATGATCTACAACATGCTAAACATTTAAGATTGAAACTATGATCTTTGCATGCCCAAAAGGTTGTCTTAACTATCACACAAGCCAAGCTAGGTACTATATTTCTGGCCAATTATCAGTGAAGAAGCCAAGATGCCTTGTGTCATTTGGCGCTTCTATTACAGCTGCTTATCAAAAGGAAAAGCAAAGAATGTCCGCTGTTGCGTAATTCTCATATATTCAGACCCACATAATACAAACATTTGTCAGTAGTTTCAGCCCCTCAGATTTTGGAAACTGGTTGTTTCTGGCTTCTTTTTATCAGCTTTCTATTTCAACTGTCCCAAGTTCTTTAGTGTTAATATGACATTCTAAGGAAATTGAACTTGCTAAGTAAAGGGTATATATACATAGGCAAGAGAACTCTGTTCAGAAAAGTGTTAATGTTTCCATTTTATAATGGAAACCTAAATGCATATAGGCAGTGATCTTTGTAGACCTGCTTCTTATTGTCCTGCTCCTTTCAAATAATCTCTATATTGGAGTCTGTATTTTGATATAGTATAACAGGTTTGCATCTCAAATTGTAATTTTAAAAAACTCATATGACAATCACTAAATATTGAAGATAAGATTTATGATAAATACAGAAAGCAAGAAATTGCTACAGCTTAAGAAAATATTGCTATAATCTGCAAGTGACTGTTTTATGAATGTGAACAGAGGTGGGTGTCTATGTGTCTATAAAAGTTTTTATAAGAGCAATTTCTACTATTGCTCTGTAATTCTCACATCTGAAATAATCATTTGCTTTTCAGCAAGCTTTTCATATCTTTAAAATGGTAATGGAAGAAATAGTTCTTAAAATGCTGATCTTTTGTAAAATGCAAATGCTATAGACTTTAATTGTGGTTTCAAGAATGAGAGTTAATAGAATGTTCTGTCAGCAATTGCTAGTTAAGCTAATAATGAAACTGCTTGAAAATATCTGTTATAATATTTTATTTTAATTTTCTATAGCCATGGAAGTGGGAAGAAGACAAGAAATTAAAAAAAGGTGTACAGAAGTTTGGAGTTGGCAACTGGTTGAAAATTCTTCAGAATTATGATTTTAATAATAGAACCAATGTTATGTTAAAAGACAGATGGAGAACATTAGTTAAGTTAGGCTTGGCCTAAATTGTTTTTTCCTCAAAAACTCAGCCTATTTACTTACCTCATTACATTTTGATAATGATGATGTGATAGTCTTACTAGGTGGTATCTTGAATTAATATAAAAGAGGAACCATTTTATGTAATTATAGTTCCTAAAAAATAAAGTTTTTGCTTCTTCAGTTGACTCTTGAAAATCTAGAGGTGATGAGATGTTAAGTGGAAGGTCTATTATCTAGTTAATCATTTGAATAAAGGTGCTTGAGACAAGCAACTTCAAATTGATTTAGTCTTTCATTCTGGAGAGCTTGTAAGAAATTCAGGCTAATATTTTGCAGGACCATATAAATACTGCAAAGTTAAGACATAAGTCTTAAGCAGACAAGTTTAAGATTCCTGTTGCCTCCGTTTAATCAAGGATATCTTACATTGTTCTATGCAAAGGGGACATGGAGATGAAAGTAAAGTATGCAAGAAATCCTTTAACAAAGTAATCATGCTTTAAGGCAGGCATGTCAAACTGCCGGCCCATGGACCAGATGCATCACGCCGAAACCGCATCCACCCCATTGCCAGCAGTGGGGGAAAAGTCCCAATATGTCACGTGACGTCGCAAGTTTGACATGCCTGCTTTAAGGCATGGGAGTATTTCTGCAACCCTTTCCATAATCTTTACATGCTCAGGAAGTGATAAATTGGCTTCCTGCAATGCTTTCTTGAGTTAACTATCCAAATATGAACCCACTATGTTCAGCTTGTGGGCAACACTGAAGTGCAACACTGTTAATTATAACAAATGTATTGCATTTTTAAGTTCAATTCATACTGCTGCATTTTTAATTTGTAAGCTATATTTTATTTTCTTGCAATCAATCATAGTAAGTGACTTCTCCATTCTATTTTCAGGAATGTCCAAATAACTACTTAGCAGTTGTATAGTATTTTGTAGGAGCAATATTTTGAAGAATCTATAGATATAAGAATTTATTTCAATGTTGTTCTTATTCCAGAAAGTTAAATTGTTTTACAGATTTGGTTGCCTGCTGATGTGAGGCTTTGATCAGTAAGAAAGCCAATTTTATAGGCTTGCTAGTGATGCAAGGGATTCATTCTCGTATAATCTGCTATCCTTCATGTTTCCTTCACAATCCTTTGTCAATGACACTGATGCCAAAAATAACTGGAGTGTGCCAGATTGATCCTTATGGTACTAAGAATGAAATGTTAAAGCTTATCTTTCTGAATAGTATTAAATATCTATACCTCAAAAATTTAAATGATTCTGTAAATAACAGTCCTTCAGTATAGTCATCACAATGACTTTTAGGTAATATTTGCTGAGTATCAACCCTAGATACCAGTTACAGTATCATATCCTACAATCTGCTTCTGATTTTTTTCCTAACATGCATGGAGCCTTGCTATCATTTCAATTCACAAGTGGACAAGCTGCCAATGGCTTAGTTGTAGATTTGCCTTCTAAGGAGCTGAGAGATCCAGTCTGATGTAATGATTAAGATGCTAACCCCAAAATCAGGAGACATTGAGTTCTAGTCCTGCCTTAGGCACAAAGCCAGCTGGGTCGCTCACTCTCAGCTTTGGGAAGGAAGCAATGGCAAATCACTTACCAAAAAATCCTTGCCAAGGCAACTGCAGGAGTAGTCCAGGTAGTTGTCAAGCGTCAAAAATTGATTTAAAGGGATTCCCTCCCTCCCCCAAAATAGGAACTGTGATATTGCTAAACATACTTCTGATTTAATGTCAATAACTTCCACTTCAAATATTTTCAATTATAAATAAAGCAGACACTTTTCAAAAGAACTAATGCCATATTACAATTGATTTATGTAAATGATTACCCAGCTTATCTGTTTTAATGGCATCTCACAATAATTACCGTATTTTCCGGCGTATAAGACGACTTTCTAAACCCTGAAAATCTTCTGAAAAGTCGGGGGTCGTCTTATACGCCCAGTCGTCTTATACGCCGGAAAATACGGGTATTCAGGCAGGCTTCCAGAGTTCGGCTGGCAGGATGCAGGTAACCCCTCCCCCCATCCTGCCGCCTCCCACCGCACCGCTCCGCGTCCCGCGCCTCCGTGTCTCAAGCCTCTGTGTTATGCTTGGGCGGAAGACTTTTTCTTTTACAGATTGGGCGGGTGGGCCTGACATTCGCGCGCAGGCAGGACCCCGCCCGCCGAGCCACCGCTTCCCCATCACCCTCCACGCCAGCCTGCTCCGTCTCCAGACCTCCCAGCTGACGGGCGCAGGTCCGGGGGTTGCCAGCTGACAGGCGCAGGAGTTCGGCGCTGCAGCGGCCTCCGCTTCGCCCTCCGCACCGGCCAAAGCGTTGCCTGACGTTTCGGCCGACGGACGCAGGTCCAGGGGTCGCCAGCTGACGGGCGCAGGAGGTAGGCGCCACCGCGGCCTCCCAGCCGCTTGCTTCTTCGCCTGGAGCAGTTGCAAGGGCTTGCATGGTCGGCGGCGGCGGGGAGCGCGTCAGCGGCCCTTGGGGACCATGCAAGCCCTTGCAACTGCTCCAGGCGAAGAAGCAAGCGGCTGGGAGGCCGCGGCAGCGCCTANGCATTTGAAATTAATTGAATTTGACTTTACTTTTTTAAAGTTATTAATTGAGTTTAGTAAAGTAAAGGGAACTGAAGGGAGAACAGAAAGCTGGTTGACTCAAATCTCTTCCTTCCCACCATCTACAGATTTCTTTATGATTTGGAAGCAAGCTCCTGTTTTGTGTGATTATGGGAGGATTTAAAAAAAAACATAAAAACGCAAGCTCTTTGCAAAGGGGAAAAAAAAGCTATAATCCTAATTGGCATGCAATCTGAACACAATGAAAAAGGAAGTTGTATTCTGCTGTGGTAAAGGTATAGATTTCCCTATCAGTTGTGTCTGACTTTAGAGCACAGTGCTCATCTCTGGTGAGCATTATTCCAAAGATATTTTCCATGGTCATGTGACCAGTGTGGCTATACACCAAAGGTGCACAGAACGCTACTATCTTCCCACAGTTGTGGTACCTATTTATCTACTCGCGTTTGCACGCTTTCAAACTGTTAGGTGTGCAGGAGCTGGGTCAAGTAATGGGAGCTCACCCTATTGTGCGGAGCTTGGGTCTTGAATCCCAGGCTGTCAGCTCTACAGTTGACAAACTCAACATCTTTAACCGCTGAGCCAACGTGCCCAAGGGATTCATACTCCATGCCTGCCAATTGACCCCTTACTTATGTTAGGTATACTGTGTTTATATATATTCAAATATATAGTTTTAATCTTTCTGGGAGCAGAAAGCCAATCATCTCTTCTGATGTTTAAGTCTCCAGAAGTACATATTATGGGAAGTTAAGTTAATGATAAATTTAATCTAGGGGGCTACATTTGCCAACTTGTTTTATCACTCTCCCTTCCTTCTGCTGAGATTTATTTATTGAATAGTATTTGTACATTGTTCCAGAGAGAAACTCTGACATAGGTCACCAGATGTGAATGTTAGAGGCCCTAATATTGTAGAGTATCATTTCTGCTTTGGCATAGGGAATGTCAAGGATAAGAAGGGTTTTTTTTTGTTGTTTTGTTTTTAAATATAATTTTATTAAACAAAAAGATAAAAACTAACACCAGCTAATACAAAATGAAGAAGGTAATAGAGAGATCAAAGACAAAACAAAAAGTGCAAGAAATGAAAGTTGAAAAAGAATAGAAAGGAAAGGAAAAAAGATACAGTGGTATCTCAATACTCATGATGATTTTGACCTATGTACATCTCATGGAATTAGATTGGATTGTACATGTTCAGATTCAAGAGAAAAAGTGTCTTCTTTAGTGCTATAGCTATATACCACAGCAACTGGTTCATTAAAGTAGAAAGACTCATATTAAAATTGCTTAGTATGAAGTAGACTTCTTAAGCCAAGTATTCAAGTGTCTAGCAGTGAGCTTGTGGCTGCAGTGAGGATAAGAAAAAGAGAACACATGGCTTAAATGCTACAATGTAATCGCACAGAGTATTGCAAATTTACCATTCTATATTACTGTGGGTGGCTCACTGCCAATTTCAGTCTCAAAAGACATTAACTTGGGCTAATAGTGTATATAATTTTTTTTTCTCCCTGGAAAATTTTCAACTGCATTTTTTTTATATTTTCTATGAAAAGATAAAATCCCATGAGTCAAGAAAACTTTGAATATTGAGCATTCAACACTATGAACTTTGGGTACCAGCTAAATTGACTCACTAGCTATTACTTTGGTAATCAGCTATGAGACCATGACCAAGGATGAGTCTAGAAATTAGGGTTTGGTTTCTCAACCTTGGCAACTGTAAGACATGTGGATCCCAGCATGCTGGCTAGGGATTTCTGGCAGTTGAAATCCACACACCTTAAAAATTGCTAAGATTGTGAAGCATTGACTTAGAGTATTAGAAATAAAGAATATAATGTGTGTGTGTGAGAGAGAGAGAGTGTATAAACATTCTAGCAGCATTACAACTTAGAATATCAATATTACAAGCATGACATTTTTTGACTTTCTCATTTGAATTTGAGTATAATATCTGGAAAAGAGAAACATCTGCAGATTACAACGGTATATTTGTTGTTCAATAACTGTTTTGATTTTGAGCTAGTTAGTATTAAAGTCTCCATTACACAATTGCTTTATAGCTATATATTCTATAAATGCTATATATGCATGTTAATAAATGGAAAATATGTAAGCGAAACCAATTTAACAAAAATTACATTCCCCCAAAATAGTTGTTTTTTTAAAAAATCCTTAATAATAGTTCTTCAGATTCAACATCAAGAATAAACAGGGAGGATTAGAGTTTAGGAAACAAGGTTTATCCATTTCCTCAAGTACTTATTTGAATATTGACTGGCTCTAGAACCTCCTGTAGAAAGAACAAACATTTTAGTTTCCCGAGTTGAGCTCTCCAAGGTACTGAAAGTTCATTCTGCCTTGATTATTCACTGCAAGTATCTTACATTATATGATTTATATAATGATTCACTGCAAGTATCTTACATTATATGAGGCCAAGGCTGGCCATGTCTGAGGGACGCGGCATTGGAATGGTGAGGGGGGAGGTTGGGGGGCTAAGAGAGGGTGGTGTGATCAGTACAGTCAGTGGGAGGGGCAGATATGGCGGGAGCAGAGGACCATATCGGGTTTTGGGAGCACGCACACGCTGCTTACAAGCTTGTGGGTGCTCCAGTCCTCAGGACTCTACTCGGTCCCCAGGGATCTTAGACCCTCGGGCCCGGGATCACCGGCTGATGTTATGCAATGCC